ATGTTTCGCTAACCTAAACTTTCATCTATAACATAAGCATGAAATTCTCAACGTTAAATGCACTAAAATGACATGATAGCGTACATTAAGAGAAACATATCGATATTTATATTATAGAGGAAAGATTAAATTCACAAAACATTTGATAAACGCATTTTTTCTTTCTACTCTCTCTCTCTTTCTTTTTCTCTTTCTCTCTCTCTCTCTCTCACTCTCTCTCTCTCTCGCTCCTTCTTTCTCTGTCTGTCTGTCTCTCTCTCTCTCTCTGTCTCTCTCTCTCTCTCTCACTCTTTCTCCCTTTCTCTCCCTCCCTCCCTCCCTCCCTCTCTCTCCCTCCCTCTCTCTCCCTCCCTCTCTCTCTCTCTTTCTCCCTCTTTCTCTCTTTCTCTCTCTCCCTCTCTCTTTCTCCCTGTCCCTCTCTCTTTCTCTCTCTCCCTCTCTTTCTCTCTTTCTCCCTTTCTCTTTCTGTCTTTCTCCCTTTCTCTCCCTCCCTCCCTCCCTCTCTCTCCCTCCCTCTCTCTCTCTCTTTCTCTTTCTCTTTCTTTTTCTTTCTTTCTTTCTCTCTCTCTCCCTTTCTCTCTCTCTGTTTCTTTCCCCCTTTCTCTCTCTCTTTTTCTCCCTCTCTCTCTCTTTCTCTTTCTCTTTCTCTTTCTTTTTCTTTCTTTCTTTCTCTCTCTCTCTTTCTCTTTCTCACTCTCTCTCTTTCTCTTTCTCTTTCTCTCTCTCTCTTTCTCCCCTTCTCTCTCTCTCTTTCTTTCTCCCTTTCTCTTTCTGTCTTTCTCCCTTTCTCTCTATCTCTCTCTCTCTCTCTTTCTTTCTCCCTTTCTCTCTCTTTCTCCCTCTCTCTCTCTCTCTCCCCCTCCCTCTCTCTCTCTCTTTCCCCCTCTTTCTCTCTTTCTCTCTCTCCCTCTCTTTCTCTCTTTCTCCCTTTCTCTTTCTGTCTTTCTCCCTTTCTCTCTATCTCTCTGTCTTTCTCCCTTTCTCTTTCTGTCTTTCTCCCTTTCTCTTTCTGTCTTTCTCCCTTTCTCTTTCTGTCTTTCTCCCTTTCTCTTTCTGTCTTTCTCCCTTTCTCTCTATCTCTCTGTCTTTCTCCCTTTCTCTTTCTGTCTTTCTCCCTTTCTCTTTCTGTCTTTCTCCCTTTCTCTCTTTCTTTCTCCCTTTCTCTCCCTCCCTCCCTCCCTCCCTCCCTCTCTCTCCCTCCCTCTCTCTCCCTCCCTCTCTCTCTCTCTTTCCCCCTCTTTCTCTCTTTCTCCCTTTCTCTCCCTCCCTCCCTCCCTCCCTCTCTCTCCCTCCCTCTCTCTCTCTCGACGCGCATATACCCTCATTTAACGAATGACTGTTCCGACTCACCTTGTGGAACGAGAGGCAGACGTGATATTGGAAAATAACCCTTATCGGCTGCAAATATTTTTCTCTCTCGTTTTGTTTAGCAAATGAAGGCCGATTTGCGTAATTTCGTATTTCACGTCTTTACGAATTCATATCTTTGGCGTTTTTTTCTGAACTTGAACACATTCTGAAAAGAAAAAAAAAGAAAAAAAATATATATATATTAGGCTAGATCAGTAGCAACCCGAGTAGGTGTCATGGCGTCCCACAGGGCATATTTTGATGATTGTTCAATGAAAATATAACCATTAAACTCCTTATTTCCATTTTTGAAAACAGAAAAAGACCAAAATGATCGACCCTATCCACTGAGCATCCGCAACTTTTGTGACGTCATCAAAATAAACCCCATGTGCTCTTTTCCAAAAATAGAAACAGAAGCCATGACACCTCCTCCTCGGGTTGCTCCTGATCTAGCCTTTCCCAATCATCCAACCGTCAACATTCCCAGATCACGGAGGAAAAGATTCCCGAATCAGGAATTCTGGAATAAAGATCAAGTGTTCCCGCGTGAACCCAACCAGTCGTTATTTTGTGATGAACAATTTGGTAGTCATTCCTGGTACTTGAAAAAAAAGACTAAAACGAGTCGAATATAAGAGTAACAAAAGCCTAATTGAAAAGAAAAGAAAAACTAAAACGAGTCGAATATAACAATAACAAAAGCCTAATTGAAAAGAAAAAAAAAGAAAAGAAAAACTAAAACGAGTCGAATATAACAATAACAAA